CCAGGCTTCCATAAGCTCTGGGGCAACGCACTCGCAATCGAGCCCGACTCGACTCTCAAAAGATGATCCTCGTCCTCTGCGACGACCAAAATGTTGTTAGCACCCCAGACATCATATCTGGGCTGCAGATGTTTGACTAGAGCTGCGTACGCCAATGCCAGCGGCGCAGCTCAGCGAACTTTTGTTGTTACGACGGTGTGAGTACTGTTAAATACAAATACACATCGGTTTGAAAAAAAAAGAAGAGTGTGAAGGGCCCACCGGTGTGGACCCAGGACGCGACGTCGGCAACGCCGATGCCGACTTGACAAGTGGACTGGCTGCGGGACTTGCAGCAGCTGTGGGCGGGGTTGCTACGGAACGTGCAGCAACTGCAGATGGGGTTGCCACTGAGCGCGTAGCAACGGGTGACGCACTAGCTTGAGGTGGAGCGTGGCCAGCTGGAGCAGCGGGCGTGCGACTAGCCGTGGGTTGAACATGATTCGCCTGGACCGACGGCGATCCATTCGTGAAACGGATATCGAATTCCTCTCGCGTAGGCTGTGGCAGAGAAGGTTCGGCCAGATGGAATAAACGAACGGCCCTGGGGAAGCGAGCCCACACGTCTTTGGCTGGCTCCCAGGTGTCTTCACGAGCAGTGGTGCCTACCCTTCGGATGCGATAGTACATAATCTCGCTGTGACGAGTCGAATCAATCACCGCCTCGACTCGATGTCGAACTGTTCCGTCCCAGTCCTTGACAGGAGGCAGGACCCGCCGAATCCGACCTTCAACGTCATCAGCGACAAACAATTCCAAGACAGATACATGGAAGGTGCGGGACTTGCTGGATGCTTCACCTAGATCCAGCTCAAAGGCACGCTCATTGATCTGCTTCACGACCTTGAAGGGACCATCGCGTACGTACGCCAACTTGGCATACGGTTGTTCGGCAGTCTGACTGCGACGCAGAACTGTGACTAGGCTGCCCACCGTGATCGGAGGTGCTGCCTTGTGGTGTCGATCATAGAACTTGGCTGCGGACATGTTTGCTCGGTGAATATTCGCTCTCAACGAGAAACGCAGTGCCTTGAGTTCCTCCACGCGATCAGCTGCCGTTTGAGGTGCCTTCGGCGACTTGAAGTTAATCTCATCCATTTCCGGCTGAAACCCGTACATGGCC